GCCCGCGGAGGCAGAAGCGGAGGAGGCCACCGAGGCCCGGCAGGTAGGACCAGGACCCTCCCGCGGGGCCGGCCCACCCACCCAGGGGGCTCCATCAGTGGCCCGGGCCACCCCTCCATCCCGCTCGCGGAGACTCTAGGCCGCGTCCCGGGAAGGGCAGGAAGGAAGGTCCGGCGGGCTCATGGCATCCCTGCAAACTCACCGGTTGCCCCCGAAAGTGTCGCCGGGGACGAGCTCCTTGGAGTTCTGCTCTGTTTGCTCTCAGCCTCCTCTTGCCCGGGAGCCTCAGGTTTCCTCCTTCCGCTGGGCCCGGCCCCGCGCATCACCCCGGAGTGACGACCACCCCACCGCAGGAACTTGGTTCAACCGCCCCTCACCCCTCCCGCCCGTTTTCCTAAAGCAGCGGGTTTGCCATATCTCCAGGCCTGCAGGGAGAGTTGCCGTGATACTGCAATAACAATAATACTTGCAGGGGAAAAAGGGAAAGCTGCCTTTTCTTTTTAAGACCATTTCAAATCCAAGTTCTGTAGTCAGCAACGTGGGAAGGACACAGACTGACAAAGAAAAAAAAAACAAACCCATAGACGTGAAGTCGATTCCGGCTTATAAGGACCCTGTAATCTATAGACTGAAAGAGAAGGTACCCATAATTGCCCATAATTTTTATTGTTGCTCCCAAGCTGTACAAGCTTTGGTACATCTCCCTGGGGTTGCGGATAAGCTTGGCCTGTACCAGTGAGAGAGGCAGGATAAACACCCCCACAGCACAGCTGGGCGCCCCAAGCCAGCCCTCCTGCCCTAGGTAGCTCTCAGATCAGGCCTGACCCCACTGTCTTGCTTCAGAACATCCAGACAGTGCCTTTTTATCTCCAGGCTGCTCACTGGCCTGGCCCTTTTTTTTTTTTCTTTTTGATGCCTCTCTTTCAATTGGAAACCTACTTGCCAGGCTGGAAGCCCATATTACCAGGATTCAGCACCCTCGGCCACAGCAGGCCACCTCTGCGGGTCCAGAGCCCCTTTGCAGTGGCTTCCTCTTCTTCCTAAGCACCTGGTCTTGGAGGGCGAGAGGTCACCAGACAGTAAAAATAGCGAGCATGGTGCTGCAGATGCCCACCGTGTCCTTTGCTAGGGACAATGGACGCTGGAGAGAAGCTCTTGGGTGGAAGAGGCATTGCTGGGAGGAGGCTGTTTGCCAGACTCCCTCTGAGCAGGCGCTTGCTTGACAAGTGGGTAACTAATTGTGTCATTAGAATGGATGCTGGCCAGTGCAGGGGAGGGCTGCTGTGTTCACCCCAGGCCGGATGGGGGCCAGCGCTGGGCTTTTCACTCGGAACCAGGGCCTTGCTGTCCTTGTCCCCGGACTCACCCATCTCGCACGTGTTACAGGCAGGTTGGGTGCGGGCATGTGCTGATTCGGCAGGCCTTTCTCCCACTTTTGGGATTCCTGCCTACGCTCACGGCCTCAGGGGACACACAGAGGCGTAGGGACAGTCTTCCCGGCCTCCACCTGCTCCCACAGCTTACGCGTTTGCTCTTTATCACACAGCAGATTTTGAAGTTCAAAATGCCCTTTAGCGGTGCTCAGTCAGAACTTGATCCTCCGTGCTGCATCTCTTCTTAAACAAAAGCATGTGTGCTCTTGTGGTTCAAACCCACCCAGTGGTGCCATGGAAGAAAGGCCTGGCAATCTGCCTCTGTAAAGATAACAACCAAGAAAAACCCATACTCTGTAATTCATGGGGTTATCGTGAGTCGGAATTGAATCACAGGCAACGGGTTTAGTGTTTTTTGGGTTTTGAGCGCTCAGCCTACATGATGTCTTCTGTAATGGGTTCGAGCTACTTAAACGCCATTAGGGGGCCCCAGGATAGTGTGCCCTGTCTGGGCGAATGCATCTCCTCTGCGAGTGAATGGGTGCTTCGAAGGATATGGCACATTACAGGGATTTCCCATGCCAGGCGCCTACCTGGAAGCTTCTGTACCCCATGCCAGCTGCTGGTAAGGACGATATGAGACGTGAGACTGCTCTTCCTAAACAATACCCAACACCCTGTACAATCTGCCCAATGTGACACATGTTGAAATCCATTTCCTAATGTGGAGTCTTGCCCTTCCTTTTTGGGTTCCGTTCCCTATCCCTTTATGAGCAGGCAAGCCCCCTCAAGTGGAACTCGCAAACATTCCGTAAGCAGTTACTGTGCATGACCCTCTGGGTTAGGTGCTGTGGGGGACACGGATCCCCATTGCCTCCACCCACTTCCCCAGGGGTGGGATCAGCGAAGGAGAAAGAACCAGTTACCGTCAAGTTGACTCAGTGGCAACCCCGTGTGGGTCAGAGCAGAACTGTGCTCCACAGGGGTTTCAGTGGATGATTTTTCCAAAGTAGATTACCAGGCCTTTCTTCTGAGGCACCTCTAGGTGGACTCGACCCTAACCTCTCAGTTAGCAGCCGAGTTCATTCACCATTTGTGCTACCCAAGGACTCCTAAGTGAAGGAGCTGCAGAGAATTTGCCTTGCAATAGCTCAGGCATTTCCAAGAGCAGAGCCAGGTCCTTTCTTCTGATCAGCGCACCGTCCGAGGCCTACTCAGCACCATCCTTCTGAGCTGAGAAGGTGGGCGGGAGGGCCCCTGGGGAAAATAAGGCAGGGCTTAGGAGGTGTCCGGATGCCTGGGCCAGCCTCCTTGATGCTCACTAAGTGGCCAGCAGCTTGACAGAGGGAGGGCTGAGCCTGTGCCAGATGCTGCCAGCGGAAGTCACTGCCCCTGCCCCGGAGAGTGGTGGCGCTGAACTCACCTCCCCCCTCCGCTTCATTCCTGTTAACCACTTCCCTGCTAATCCCCTTGGCTGCTTCCTCCGCGAGGCCCTGGGGGTCCAGGACAGCTGCTGTCTCTGACTGACAAAGCTGATAATTGAGAAGAAGCTGCTGCCCAGGGGCACAGCCTTCAGCTGTTGTCCAGGATATGTCAGGAAGCACTCCCTCCCGGTGCTGGGTGCCAGGGGGGCAGGGAACAAAGTGGTATGGAGGGCTGAGAGGGAGGGCAGCGAGGACGAGGAGGGGAGAAGCGGGGAAGGGAGAGATCAGCACAGGCTGAGGCCATCCCCTCCCCTCCACTCCTCTCTCCTCTGCTCCTCTCCCCTCCACTCCTCTCCCCTCCCCTCCTCTCCCCTCCCCTCCCCAGCACCCTCTCCCGGGCAGGGAGTTCAGGGGAGGGCAAATCTGTATTACTGTTACTTGCCCCCCGCAGGGATCAGCGAGGATGAGCAGTGGAGGGCGAGGACCGGCAGGCCCCACCCTCACAAGGAATTGTGAGCGGAGCTGTCAAGAACAGGAACTGGTCCCTCTCAAGGCCAGGGAGCAGCGCATTTTTTATGCTGACGTGTAGGTGGGGGGCTCTGTCGCCAGGTCGCCAGGTGTGCGTCCAGCAAGGCCGTATCCTAGGGTCCCCCAGCAGTGGTCACGGGAGTTCATAGAATCTTAGTGTTCAATCCATGTGTCGACTCTCAGTCTGTGCTAGGACGCAGACATCTTGGCGCTTGGTGTCAAACAGAGTAGGGATTCTCTACAAGGCAGCTGGCCAGTGTCAGGAAACACAGAACAGGCAGGGAGATTCTTCTAGAGACAAGAAGCCCTGGTGGCGCCCTGGTGAAGCGCTAGGCTGCTAACCGAAAGGTCTGTTCTGTGCGAGAAAGACCTGACAATCTGCTCCCGTAGAGATTACAGCCAAGACAACCCCGTGGGGCAGTTCTACTCCATCACGTAAGGTCGCTATGAGTCGGAATTGACTCAATGGCACACAAGAGACATGACAACCAGGTGCAATGCCTGATCCTTGGCTGGATCCTGGATGGGGGAAAGGGGAAGAAGGAGTAAAGGACGTACTGTGGGTAGTTGGGATATTTTTAATATGAATGGTTTATTAGGTAATTTTATTATACCAATGCTAAATTTCTCAGGTGGGATGCTGGTATTGTGGTGGTTCAGTGGTAGAATTCTCACCTTCCATGCGGGAGGCCTGGGTTCGATTCCCAGCCAGCGCATCTCAAGTGCAGCCACCAACCATCTGTCAGTGGAGGCTTGCATGTTCCTGTGATGCTGACCAGGTTTCATCAGGGCTTCCAGACTAAGACTGACTAGGAAGAAAGGCCTGGCAATCTACTTCCAAAAACCAGCCAATGAAAATCTTATGGATCACATGGTCTGATCCCATTGTGCGTGAGTCAGAGGCCAGCTCAACGGCAGCTAACAGCAACAGTGTTTTTAGGACCGTGCATACTGAAACATTTAGGGGTGACATGTCATGATTTGAAGTTCCGGGAAAAAAATTGTGTGTGGTGGGGGAGGGACAAGAGGGTGCTAAGTGTGTATGTAGATAGAGAGAATGCAGGGATGGCAGAATGTTGATCACAGGTGGGTCTAGGTGAACGGTGGAGCCCTGGTGGTACAGTGGTTAAGAGCTCGGCTGGTCACCAAAAGGTCGGCAGTTCGAATCCACCAGCCACTCCTTGGAAACCGTATGGGGCATTTCTACTGTGTCCTATAGGGTCGCTATCTACTCTGTCCTATAAGGTCAGAATCGACTCAACGGCAACAGGTTTGGTTTTGGTTTTAGGTGAAGGGTATGTGGATTTTTCACTGGATTATTCTCTCAATTGTTCATAGCTTTGGAATTTTTCAAAGTAAAGCATTGGAAGAAAAGAAACCCAGTAGGGAATTTCCTGGGAAGGTCTTGGTTTTTCAGATGCTGCGATGCTTAGTCTGATTGGGCAGCTCAGCTTCCATCTGTCTGTCCTCACCACTGTGCAACTCGGCCTTGTTCGGCCTCTCTGAATTATGCTGTGATTAGGCCCATCTGTGTGTGTCCCCTGCCCTCACTGGCTGCACAGCTGTGTCCTCTGGAAGCCGCAGAGACCGCAGCCTCCCCAAATGATCAAGGGGCAGGTGGAGCCCCCCACCCCTGGTCATCTGCCCTGACCTCTGTGATGCCAGCCTGGCCCCACTTTCTGCTCTCTTACCAAAAACATCAGAGCCAGGTAGCCGAG